ATGTCCTGCTTCTTTTAGCTAGTGTCCTGCTTCTTTTAGCTAGTGTCCTGTTTCTTTTAGCTTTAAACCAATGTGCTGCCTTTTTAGCTTTTAGCTAATGTCCTGCTTCTTTTAGCTAGTGTCCTGCTTCTTTTAGCTAGTGTCCTGTTTCTTTTAGCTTTAAACCAATGTGCTGCCTTTTTAGCTTTTAGCTAATGTCCTGCTTCTTTTAGCTAGTGTCTGGCTTCTTTTGAATTTTAGTCAATATGCAGCCTCTTTTAACTAATGTCCCGTTTCTTTTAGCTAATGTCCAGCTTCTTTTAGCTAATGTCCAGCTTCTTTTAGCTAATGTCCTGCTACTTTTAGCTAGTGTCCTGCTTCTTTTAGCTAATGTCCTGCTTGTTTTAGCTAGTGTCCTGTTTCTTTTAGCTAATGTCCTGCTACTTTTAGCTAATGTCCAGCTTCTTTTAGCTAATGTTCTGCTACTTTTAGCTAATGTCCTGCTACTTTTAACTAGTGTCCTGCTTCTTTTAGCTAGCGTCCTGTTTCTTTTAGCTTTAAACCAATGTGCTGCCTTTTTAGCTTTTAGCTAATGTCCTGTTTCTTTTAGCTTTAAACCAATGTGCTGCCTTTTTAGCTTTTAGCTAATGTCCTGTTTCTTTTAGCTTTATACCAATGTGCTGCCTTTTTAGCTTTTAGATAATGTCCTACTTCTTTTAGCTAGTGTCTGGCTTCTTTTGGTTTTTAGTCAGTGTGCAGCCTCTTTTAACTAATGCCCCTTTTCTTTTAGCTAATGTCCTGCTACTTTTAGCTAATGTCCTGCTACTTTTAGCAAATGTCCTGGTTCTTTTAGCTAGTGTCCTGCTTCTTTTAGCTAATGTCCTGCTACTTTTAGCTAATGTCCTGCTACTTTTAGCTAATGTCCTGTTTCTTTTAGCTTAAAACCAATGTGCTGCCTTTTTAGCTTTTTAGCTAATGTCCTGCTTCTTTTAGCTAGTGTCCGGCTTTTTTTTAATTTTAGTCAGTGTGCAGCCTCTTTTAACTAATGTCCTGTTTCTTTTAGCTAATGTCCTGTTTCTTTTAGCTAATGTCCTGGTTCTTTTAGCTAATGTCCTGGTTCTTTTAGCTAGTGGTCTGGTTCTTTTACTAATGTCCTGCTACTTTTAGCTTGTGTCCTGCTTCTTTTAGCTAATGTCTTGCTACTTTTAGCTAGTGTCCTGGTTCTTTTAATTAATGTCCTGTTTCTTTTAGCTTTAAACCAATGTGCTGCCTTTTTAGCTTTTAGAAAATGTCCTGCTTTTTTGCAGTATGCTGCTTCTTTTAGCTTTTAGCTAGCATTTGGCTTCTTTTAGCTTTTAGATAGTGTGCTGCTTCTTTTAGCTTTTCAGCTAGCATTTGGCTTCTTTTAGCTTTTAGATAGTGGGCTACTTCTGTTAGCTTTTAGCCAGAGTGCAGCCTCTTTTGGATTTTTGTTTGTGTCATGTTTTATTTTAATCAACATTTTTGCCACTTGTAGGTTTTAGCTAGTGTTTAGTTAGTTTTATCTTAAAGCTAGCATTCGGCTTCTTTTAGTTTTACACTGTGGCAGTCATGTGTTGCATCGTTAGTCAGATGTAGAGGTACATCTGGTGGTTGCTGTGTGAAGGTTTTGTTAGAACTCTTCCCTCATCTGGATTTCTGGTGTAACTTTCTCTGAGGTTGCCAGGTAACAGGAACTGGACCTTCAAAATGAACCGTGGTACCAACACCTAGCTGGTGTCACCTGAGAAGAGCTGCGACAAATATCACAAGAGCTGCTCTTGTGTATCAGGAAAAGATTGTGATGTTGTTAATTTCAGTGGCGTCAAACTGTGRGCAGGGTGAACACATATCCTGTTTCATCGGGACGTGACATCATCTCGTTACTTTACACCGTCATGATTTATTTAACAAAACAACAACAAACCGCTGAGGCGCTATGTGGAAAAAGTTCACCTTTAAAGTGTCTGTGACATGAAATACAAAACGTCAAAGAAAATATATTTATGTTTAAGAAACTTTGCATAATAGACATGATTTTACTCATTAAAGGGATCCCCGATTAGTTGTAACATTAAACTTTATATGATAAACATATACTTTAACTGTAAAATAAAGACTGTTAAAATACTGTAGGA